ATCTTCTCTTGCAATATCAGGAGCTGGTTTTATCCAGCTCAGAGTCAGGGGCCAGCGTTCAGGCAGGCTGGAAAATAGAGTGTAACAGTGGGAATTATTGTACTGAAATGAGCATCTCTCCCCAGGCCGTGGGAGCAGGCTGCCCCTGCACCTCCGAGGGGAAGGCCAAGGACCCGTGGTTGAATTCAGCCGTCAAATGCTGAAACTTGGGAACATTTTTGTCAACACCTCCCACGTCTATGAGGTGAGCAGCAGGGGTTGGGATGGATCTTGATGGCTCCTGAGGCAGCAGCAAGCCTGGTGGACCTGTGGAATTCCTGACAACACGGGCAGTTGTGAGCAGGGAATATTGGACGTACTGGGCAGATCTGGTGGGGTCAGAAAGGTGTGTCTGCTGTTCATGAAGCCCCAGTCCCTTGGCAATGCCAATTTTTGGCAGCCTTCCTTGGGGGTCAGCTCAGAAGCTTCCTGAAAAACAACCCCTTGGCATATGAAACCCAGACTGGGTCAAAAAGCTGCACGTTCAGAGGCTTTTGTGGCAGCCCCAGACACAAGGCACCTTTGCACTGGACTGTTCAGAAGCAGCTGGAACAAACTGGCTGTGTTGAGCTTCAGTACCCTGCAAACAATTCTCAGTGGAGTGTCTCCTGCTTATTCCTGGGAGTCACAGGAAAGCCATCCAGCCTCCTGGCTCAGTGCTGGCCCTTGCAAAGGGCTTGGGATTCTTTCCTTTGCTGACCACTCCCTCACCACACTCCAGCCTTGCTGCATCCCTGACTCTAGAAAGACAAAAGTGTTCCTGGGAATAAAGCTAAGGATCTTTCTACCTCTTTGCCTCTCCCTCAAAATAGTGTCAAGTTTGCAAAAAAAATAGAGAGCAACTGAAAGAGGGAGAAAATAAGGCACTGCATCATGCCAGACTCTTTCAAAAGCTTGGCTGTGGAAAGGAAAAACACCCTGGGTTTTTTTACCAAAAGATGGTGCTGTCTCTGTATTTGGTGGTGATGCCTCGTTATCAATGTGTTGTTGTCATGATTTGGGAAAAGGTGAATGAGTAGATGGAACTGTTGGAGCTGTGCTAAGTGGGGCAGTGGCAGCTCTCTGGTGATTGACTACGCAGCTGCCCCACGTTGCTCTCAGGGCCAGCTCTGAATGAGCTTGGTGATGCTGGCCAGAGCTGGAGTGCTCTGTGTCCATGGGAGAAGCCCAGGGTGACTCTGGTTATGTGCAATTACTGCTGCTTTGCATGAAAACCCAAAGGCAGAACTTGTCCTGTTGTATTTTTGGACTTCTGCCTTTCAGCAGCACAAAGCATCTTCTGCCTTTTCTGGGTGGGAATTGCATCATTAGAAAATAACTGACAAGAAGGGAAGATTGCACATGAATTTCCCTTTTGCTTTCTTGCTGCTGCAGGTGAAACTGATGAACCGAGGAGCTATAGATGCTCCCTTCACCTACATCCCTTCAGCCACAACCGTGGGCCGCTGCTTCAAGTTTGCCCCCGAGGAGGGCGTCATTGCAGCAGGTGGGATCCAGACGATTCACATCTCCTTCAATGCCACCGTCCTGGGGAGCTTTGAGGAACAATTCCAGTTCCGTGTGGCTGCATCTCCTACGCCTGTGATCCTGACAGTCTGGTAAGGACTCTGGGAGCTTGCTGGGCACATCTGTAGCTGTCTCTGGGACATCCCCCACCTCCCTCATTTTGGGGTCGAGCAGAGGAAAAAGGAGTTTCCTGAGCTCTTCATCTCTGCTCTGATCCTGGCACTGCCCCAGTGTAGGGTGCCCGGGGGCTGGAATGACTCCTCCCTGCAGGGATCTCCCTCTGCCTTGGGCCATGGCAGGCAGTGGGATGGATCAGCTTTGGGCAGTAGCTGCTCTGGGCTGTCCCAGCTCAACACCCAGCAAAGCTCCCAGGGCTTTGGAGATGGGGCAGCCTGGGTGATTCTGCAGCAGCAGCAGTGTTTTTAAAAACTTCTGCTCATAATCCATCCCAAATGGGCAGCAGCAGCCTCACCTCACCTCTCATGGCCATGCTGTGGGGGACAAGCTGTGCTCCCAACTCCTGTGCAGAGAGTGCTCCAGTCCCTCCTTTCCACAGCCAGGAAAGGGCTGGGAGACAGGGAACTGTGCAGCAGGAATGTGCCAAGGACATGGGCATCATCCCATGGGCTGGTGCCACTGCAAGAGATAATCCTGGCCCAGCAAAGGGAGAAGGGGTGATAACAGGGGAGGCAGAGCTCAGTCCTCAGTTCCACAGCAGCACGAGGGATTGTCCCTGCCAGCCTGAGCCATGTGCTGGTAGGATAATGTCCTGCAAGCAGGAAAGCTGATGCTGGCTGCTCTGGAGCTTTGCAGCTAGGCTGCTGCTGTTGGGAGGCACTGGATCAAGGCAATAAAGAAATGAATGCACCCTGCACTTGATTATACCAATGAGATAAGGGAGATGGATCAAAAAAGAATAAGAAAATTAGGACTTAGCAAGAGGAAAGTGGTGAGTAGGTCTGCCCGCTGGAGAACAATTATTATAATTGGAGAAACAATTATGCTGGCTTTGTTTTTGGAGGAAAAGTGCTGCTCTGTTATTTTGGAAATCAAGAGGGAACCTTTCACCATCAATTGATTCTCCTCTGTCTCCCCCCAATCTGCTCCTGGTCCCCCCAATCTGCTCCTGGGACATTATTGCATAAGCAGCTTTCTCCTTGGGCAAGGGCAGGTGTCTCTTGTAGAGATGTGTAGAGCAGAGCCAGTGGCAGTCCTGGGAACACAAGAGAAGGCACAGTTCACTGGTCCTTGATTTTTAACCAAAAAGCAGAGTGGGCATGGATTGGTGTCACCCACAAAATAAACTCGTGAGTGTTGTGCAGCTTCAAGTGCTGATTTCAGTGGATGTTGGTGACTTTTGCAGCCTGTCTGCTGAGTTCAAGGACAGGTGAGGTGGCGTGGTAGATTCAGGACACCCATGTTTGGTTGTTGAAGCCATTGCCCTTGGCTGTGCCGGCTGCTGCACTGGTGCCAGGCTGGTCCTTTCCTCTAGGATTCATCTGCCCACTGTGCAGAACTGTTGCTGCTCTTTTCAGAGGATGCTTGGGGCTCCCCTGGCTTCATGTCTCTAAAGTCTGTCAGTAATGATTGTGTGGCTCAAAATCTGCTGAGAAAGCTCCTCCATGGGAACACCAGTTGGAGCTAAGAAGCAGCAAAGCAGGGAGCCCGTGGCTGGAAAGGCTGGTTACAGAAGTTTGTGGGGACTTTTATGTCCATCACATTACAGATGGGGAAACTGAGGCAATGGAGCCATGTCTGGGTGTGTGTTCAGGGTCCTTCATGGCACCACCAGCAACTGGGGGCTTTTCCTGCCTGCCCTGTGCCCAAATCCCCACCAGTGGCTGTTGGCTGCCGGCCACTTGGCTTTAGCTGCCTCCTGCCCACACGGACACTGTGCTGAGCACATGGTGCTGTGTTGATTTGAAGCCCACGGTGCCCCTGACCCCAGGCTTACATCTCCTTCGGTGAGTGTTCCCTGGGCTTGGGCACAGCGTGAGGGATCTGTGCGTTCCACAATGAACCACTTGAACATAAAAACATCCATCACTCGTCTTCTGCCACAGCAGCCTCTTCAGGCTGGGAACTCCAGGGCTGCTGGTGCCTCAGGTAGCATTTTGCCCTTGTCAGATCAAATAGAACCAAGGAATAGAAGCTCTGGGCTGTGCCTGCAGTTGTTTTTTCCCCCCATCTGTGTTCAAATGACTCTTGGTGAGCAGGCCTGGGAGAAGTCTCCTCCCCACAGAGCTGGCCAGCCAAGCCAGATGTCCAGTGCAGAGCAGTGGTGGCCGGTGGCCGGGCTCTGCAGGACATCCCCACCATGTGTGGCTGGAGCTCTGGCTTTCCAGGATGGAAAGCAAATCTCAGAGCTCAAGTGGGGTAAACCCTTGCAGGCAGCAATCACAGGGAGCAGCAGGGCTGTGATGGCCCCCTTTGTTGGGTGAGGTGGGACATGGTTCCTAATCACTGCTCTCGAAGCAAGGCTCAGGTTTGCCTCCAGTGGAATGTGCTCTGAGCTGTCACCTGCTCAGTCTGTTTGGCCCAAACCAGGAGATGCCTTAAGGATGCTGCAGAGAGAAACTGCATTAGGGTGCTTTGCATCACCTTCTAGCTCCAGATTCCATTAATTCCTCACGTAGCTTCTCGGTGAGCTGTAGTTCACATAGTAAAGAGCTAAACTGCAGTCACCCTTTCATCCTACCAGGCTGTTCACACCAGGAGTCATGACACAGTTGGTGCCTAAATGGATATTTGTGTCCTTTTCCCAGGTTTTCCCCGCACCATGACCTGTCGCCTCACTAACACCTCCCCGCTGGCCGTGACATTCAAGCTCCGCATGTCGGACGATGGCACGCAGCCTGCTGTCAGCAGCTTGGATCAAATCTGCAAGGAAGGTGACCCATCCTGGAGGAAGGGAATTCATTTTTATGTGGAGCCAAGGGAGTTTACAATGAATCCCAGCCAAGGGACCATCCTCCCCCAGGGACACCAGGATATCACACGCTTCAGCCCCAGGGCTAAAGCTTCACTGGAGTGTGCGAGGGCTTTAGCTCTGATGCCAGCTTTGAGGATCATGTGAGTGAGAGATCTGCACTGGCCTGAGGCCTCTGTTAGCTGGGTTACTCAGGATGTAACTGAAGCAGCACTGTTTTGTTCCCAAAATCATACGCTGAGATCACAAACCGTATGGTAAAGTACTGGAGCCATTCTTGTGTTTTTGAGAGCAGTTTCTTTGATTGCAAGTGGGCAGAGGAAGGATGAGGACAGAATGAGAGGTGTCATTGTAGAAAGCAGTTTGCTTTTCTTCTTGGTCTCATGTCTCCTCTCCTGGGGAGCAGAATGATTTGTGTTCATTGCAGGGATCTCCAGTGGAGACAAAAAGCTCTGCAGCCATGAACTGCCCAGCACCTGCTGGGCCACATTTGCCCTCAGCTTCCTGCTGTAAAGCTGAACTCATTCTGTCCAAGTCAGCAGATTTCATCTGCATTTGTGTCATTGTAGTCAGATGAAAAATTGGCCCCTTAATTTGGGTACAGTGGTGTGTAGAGCTTTAGCCTAATGTTTGAATTTAGCTGACCTATGCCATGATAGCAAGGTGTGTTTAACAAATCTGGTATTGCCAGAAGGCTTTTGTTACTCTCAGAGACTGTGCTCTACACATGGATCAGCAGAGTAATTAAGGCAAAATCCTCCCTTTCCTTCCCATGAAACAAGAACTGGAGAATACCACGTGTGGGTAATGAGCTTTTATAAGGAAGAATTTACTGCTCTTCTCTTCCACCAGGTGACCCTGTGCTCCAACACGGTGATGGAATACTACCGGAAAATGCTGGTGGACCTGGTGGGCCTGGAGGGTGTTGGCAAGGAAGTGGCATCAGTGATCATCACAGCCAGGTACCAGCACTTCCCTGGCCTCTCCCAGCACACTGCCTGGCACAGGGTTTGCTGGCTGCAGCTCCCAAGGGAAGTGTTGTTTAATGTTCTCATGTTGTGACCAGCTGGACACGAGAACAGCAGTGCTTGGAAAGCAGCCTGTGGTGAAAAGCAGCCCTGCTCACAGCCCAGCACAGTCCTGGGCCTTTTTCTAGAGGGACCAGGAATGAAATCATTTATTGGCCTGGTTTTTGGTGCTTGAGCTGGAACAAATTTCCCGAGGACCTGCTCTCCTTCTTCCTGCAAGAGATGGAGCTGTGCTGGGTTGAGACCCCCCTGCTTTGGTTTGGGACACACCAAGCAGCCTGCTGAGAGTCAGGGTCTGGTTCTGTTCATGAGGGCACGTGACAGTGGGGAAGTGGCTCACAGCCAGAGTGGTGAGGGCAAGATCTTACGAGGGGAAAAGAGCCCTTGATGTGGCAAGTCAGCTCTAGTTTTTCTCCTTTCCTCTGCTTCCCATTTTGAGCTTGAATGTTTTCAGACTTAAACCAAAAGTTGCTCTTGCTGCAGCAGAATTCCATCCTGCCAGTTTAATGTCGAGAGGGATGCAGTTCCCTGGTGCTGCTCCCTCTCGCAGGCAGAGCCATGCAGTCAGTGCCTGGGCTGCAGTTTTGTCAAGCAAGTGCAAATGGGGACAGTCAGTGCATGGAGCTGTGGAGTGAAGGACCGAGGGAGCTGTAGGAACTGGGAGGGGGTGATCACCCACTCTGTAGGGCAGGTGGTGTCCCATGCCCTCCAAAGCTGGGGCAAACAGCTGAGTTTTCAGGCAGGGCAACAGCCCCGTGGGAGAGAAGGGAGTCATTTTTACTGAGACACCGGAGTCGTGTGTTCCTTGAGCCTTAGTGAGCACTGATCCGTGTTGGGAATGCTCCCCCAGAGCTCATGGATCACCGGGACTGTTACAGGAGTCCTTGCAAGCCTTCTGGGCTAAAGGAGAGG